TATTAATTTGTTAAGAAATTGACAATCCTAAATTTCAATTTCGCAAATGAAATCATGTCACAAATCATTAACAATTTACATTCTTACAAATTCGTTTTAATAAAACTGTCAATTACTCAATCAGAATATTCAAGAAACAAGATTTGAAGCTATTAACTACTTAAATTAAAACAAATTAAAAAATCAAAGAATAGACACTTTAGAGATATGGCTTACCTGCTGCGTTGCTGCCTGGGGCGATTAGCAGAAGGCAGTCAGAACTCCCAGAAGCTAAGAAGAGAAGCACACTGGCAAGCGGCGGCGGCAGGCGGCTTGAGGCGGGTGCGGAGGGCGGGACTTAGGGTTTCTAGCGTCTCTGCGACCTTGAGACTCGCCGAAGTGCCCGAAAGGAAGATCTTCTTCCTAATGAGGCAATGGGCCAGTTAAATTGCCCCTAGCCTCTCATGGTATTGAAAACTTGGAAGAGAGTTTAACCGTGGGACTGAGTGGAAAGTGGTTGGAACCTCCGACGCCACTCGAGATATGAAGGAGCTGCGTCGGCGGTGGGTTGGTAAATTGTGGTTCGACTGCGACGACGTCAGTAGACAGTACTCAGTAGTGCTGGCAAAGGTGTTGTTGGAGTCGGGGCTTCTTTTCGGAACTCCCATTGAAGCGGTATATCAGGCACAATTTTGGATATATTGGGTGCTATTTTGGGCACTTCGTTTTGATGGAAGAACTTAATTCATACAAATAGCATTTAGCAAGTGTATAAAAGCAGAAAAGAATTTACATGTAACCATCTGCCCGTGAATGAGAATAAGAGTTAAGCACATGTAAATAAGCGGTATAAATTGTTAGACCAAAATTGGGCAACTTAAAGGCAATGACGGTTACCGCAAACTTTCCATCCTCAAACCTAATGCAAGAGTCTTACAACATAAAATAAAATATCAACAAAACAAAAACTTATTAACTTGGAAATTAAAATGCAGAAAAGGTAAATCATAAGCAAACTCCAAAACGCGTCGATCAACTCTTGGCGATGGTTCTGGAGGAGACCTGACCCTCGCAACAATTGTTGATGCACCAATCAAGGGGAGACCGGTCAGTTTCTCCACGTTGTTCGTACCCTGCACGGCTCGGTTCTCCTCATCTGCGACACATTGATCGCCAATCCCCTGCTTACCAATACCAGTCATCTCCATCTGCAATCGTCCTCCTTCAATCTCGATGTCCAAGCCCTACGAAGAGGGAAACCGCCGGACCCAAACGCCACAAAAGAACGTCGCCAGAAAATCGGCCTAGGAAAACCCTAGGAGACGGTCGTCTTTTTCACCCCCTCTTTCTCGACCCTAGAAGATGCCCAAGCCCTGCGGCCGAGAGTCGCGACAAATGAACCTGCTGCACCAGAGGAAGAATGTCGGACGCCGTACCTTGGAAGGCACCGCCCGAAAAAACGCTGGACGCCGTACCTTGGAAGGCACTGCCGGAAAACAAAAGACTACCCTACGCGGCCGTCGGCAACCCTAGGGAGAAAAAGAGCTCTCGCTATAATACCAAGTTGTATTCAATAGCTTGAAATTATTATTTTGGGCACTTTATTATGGCAATTTTCCCGTCAATAAGACTTTGGATTATTTTTCTAGGAAAAATTTTGTTGTACATAGTAAATAACTTGTACACAATTCTCTCCTTACTTATATATAAACTATATACAAATATAATAACTACAATCATTGTCCAAAGTTTTCCAACATTGACTAAGAAAAGTCAATTTGGCGAACTTTTTTGGGACGAAGGTAGTATGATTTTATGCCAAAATGCATGTGTGCACATGCAGTGTACAATTTGTGTACACCAAGAATTACTCTTGTTTTTACGGTTGAATTATCTAAAATCATTGAAGTAGTCTATATTATTTACTACGCAATTGTCAATGTACTTTCCTTTTTGGATTGTATTTTTAGGATGTTATTAAACGGTCAAATACACTTTTTCTATTAAACAAAAAATATTTTTTTACCAAATACTATTAACTTATTTTTTCAAAAACACATTTTTCTCAAACACTGCCAATTTTTATCACGAAGTATTAATCCCACTCTCTTGAATGAGGGTGATGTTCACCTCCTCTCTATTAGGTTGTCTTGTTACTCATGTACCCTTTCTTGTCATATTTCACTTTTTGGAAAGAAATATGTGGTTCACAAAATTTCACTTTATTACATTTTCAACCACTTTATTAAAAATTATGTCAACCCAAATGAGACACATAAAATGTAACGGAGGTAATACTACTTATTTATAATTGTAGTGTTACAACTTACAGATGTCAATCTACTACTGTTAGTCACTATATCAAAGCCACCCAAAATTTGGTTTGGTCACCGCTTAAAACACATTTGTATTGACCACTTTAACCCCCATCATTTACAATCCTATCATGGTCTAACAGAATCCGCCATCTACCCAAGCCCGTTTTAGGATTTTTCATCAAGTTACATTATCTCTATGCTTGATGAAGAACTTTCATAAAAAAAAATCTACCAGGAACAACCTCAAATGACCTTGGCCCGAAGACAGATCTTGTCAGGCCGGCCTGACACCATCATTCGTCCATGTATAAGAACACTAATACAAGTTGTACATGCAGAGACAATTTTAAAATGGGACTAAAATTATTACTTTTCCTAGCACTAGTGCACTACAACTAATTAATTTGTGCTCCAACCATAAGAAGTCCGACTGACATGGTAAAAAAAAGTGAGACAGTGTGGAGGTTGACGTCTATGTGTAGAAATCCATAAAGATTTGGTGACTCGCACAAAACAAGGCATTTTCTCTCTCTAAAAAAAACATTTGTGTATTAGAAACGTATTCGAGCATAATTCTTGGGATCCCTCTAAAACGCATTGGCCCATATATATATATATATATATATATATATATATATATATATATATATATATATATATATATATCACCTCCCCATAAATATTTTACGATAGAAGGTTAATATTATAGGGTAATATTTTAATAAAAAATGAATTACTGTTAATTAAATTCCACATGGACATTTAGCTTTTGAGACTTGCTCTATATGTTAATGTCCAATCACTCCACTATTTATTATTTGTAATAGAAAGCCTTTTAATAATTTGCATTTGACATAAATTATTTAGATTAGAAAGCCATGAATTGTGGATGCTCTAAGGCCATCTCCAACAATCACCAAATCTTTCACCAAAATAGAGGTTTTGTCATTTTTTTTGCTCCAACAGCTCCACCAAATGGTTCACCATTTCACTAAAATGGGGGAAGGGAATTTTGTTTACCTTTGATGTAAAGTATGTTTGGAATATACTCCGTATATCATATATGTGCCAACTGGTTCTCTAGCTTGTGATATATGGAGCACTACGTAATTAACTCTTTATTGTAAAGAGATTTAGATATACTTGCTAACAATTTTTATATGTATATCCTATATAATTTTAAGAGTAATATTGGTAATCCGATCCGTTTGTGCATTTGTACATTTATGGATTATAGTAGTATTTTAGTTTGTATTTGTGAAATAACGAGTGAAATGTCAAAATACATATTAAATGAGGGACTAATGTATAAATATATGATAATTACATAATTAACTATAAAATGGTAAAAAGTTAGTAAAAAGAATAAAAAAGAACATTCCTTTTTAGTGATAAAAATGATATAAACTGTTGGAGATAAGGTACGGTATGATGTGATGTTCACACCATTTTAGTGCACAAAATGGTGTAAACTGTTGGAGATGAATCTATGAATAAACAATAAGTAATTCCCAAAATCTACCGCTAGAAAGCAACCACCACCGAAATTTACCGTCGAACCCTCCAACGACCAGTCTACCACCGTAAAGTTGCAAAAACTCCGGTTCAATAAACTCCAAAAAAACTAACCCTAATCTACCGCCAGAAAGCAACCACCACCGAAATTCACCACCAAACCCTCCAACTACCACCGGAAAGTTGCAAAAACTACGGATCGATAAACTCCAGAAAGACTAACCCCAAGCCCTAAAAAGTATAGTTAAACCCTAAATCTTAAACCATAACGCGATGCTCTAAGAGTATCTTAGACGAATATAATTACTCTTTTCAAACATATATGAGCATAAAAGTTCTACTTTTGGAAATGAGCTTAATTTTGGTCACATAAGGAGCAACTTACATATACAACTGATACAAGTGATATAACTATACAAGTATACTTGTACAGTCTCATACAACATGAACAATAATAAAAGGTTTACCATTCACATGGTATCAGAACATCATACAGGAAACTGGAAACAAGTATCATTATCCTACTATTTGTATACAAGTGATATAACTATACAAGTATAGCTACTTGTATAGTCTCATACAACATGAACAATAATAAAAGGTTTACCATTCACATGGTATCAGAACATCTTACAGGAAACTGGAAACAAGTATCATTATCCTACTATTTGTAAGGAGAAATTCCTACACGAACATTAACTACGATTGGTGTCGCAGTGCTTTCGAAGTTTCCATTATCATATATCAAATCTAAATCCCGCCATGCAACCTACCATCATGAATACGACTCACTCTAGGATTTAAAAGAACAATCATACTTTTCAAATCACCAATAGTCATATATTTGTTGATTAACTTTATTTCAATCCTACTTTTTGTCAACAGTTCAAATTTTATTTACCCGTGATTGGATTCATTTCACAGCCAATTTTCATTTACTCCATAATATTCAATAGAACATAGAACTGCTGTGAAGAGTGGTATACATAATACACTCGACAAGAAGTTCGAATACATATTGTTGGGAGCCAAAGCTGCAACATCTCACACAGACATGTCTGCTCTTACTCACTAACCTGCCTGTTTTGCCTTTACCTACTTCATAGAATTATAAAATACCATAACGTGTTCACCATGAAGGCATGACAGGCATTCGTTGGAGGTCACAAAATGTACTATATAAATATATAATAATATGATATCATATATTTTGCTTTTGCGTAATAGAAAAAAAATGCATCCTTATTTGGTTATTTTATAAATAAATCATGTGCTTTGCTAAAAGAAACGGTAAACCAGTAACATACAACCAAACCAGTTCAATAACAACAGTATGACAACACCAAGCAACAAAACACTTAAAGTCATTCCGAGTTTTTCATGAAAGTAAAGACACAATGAAGTTCCAATGTATCGGAAGAAATACAGGGTACTACTACTCTTACTCACACAGTGCTTTACTCCTTTTAGCTGGTGGTCTCCACAGGGCTTGCATTAGTCAGCAGTCTAGCAATCTTGGCAGTGGGCATTAAGGGAAGATACGTTGCAACTCTGTACCCCTTCTCAGCACCAACTTGAACAGTCTGGTTGTACCTCTCAGACAAGTAAGAAGCCGTTGGAGCAACGGCTTGAGCCACCTTGGGAACAAGAGGGAGATGATTAAGAGACTGCCAAGCCGACAAAGCATACTGTTCGGCTAGTGGTTCGTACTTGGAGTATATCCCTTTGGCAGCAGGCTCACACTGTGTGTATACGGATTTTGCCAATATAGATGCAATTTCCACCACACCAGTACTTTTCATTTCAGAAACAACAGCACGGACAACCGATGGAGCCATCTGTGCAGTTAGAAAAGCCTGGGCTGATACTTGTTTCACAGAAGGTGGAACATGATCCTCGATCTTGTGAACTGACTCATCAACCTAAACCAATAGAGCAGAGAGCTTGAAGCCTCATAATTTACAGGATGAGAAAGTAACATAGCATTAAAAAAGAAATAGCCTCTCTGAGGGAGGAGAACTAACACAGACCATTAATGTTCAGAACTTCAGATAATATCATTGGTCCTCTTTAGTGGCAGAGAAAGGGGGGGGGGGGATAGAACCCATTTTTTCCCTTGTGCATATGCGTGTGTAACTCATTAAAATCTATATGTTGAAGTATAAAGGTCTGTCCCCCTAGAATAAAATTTTGACACCCTAACGCAACACTTCTGGCTCCACCATGGTCCTCTTTAAATAGGACCTTGGTCTTTGACATGATAAAAAGTAGTTAAGAAACTAAATCCCTTTCTGCATATTTATTTTCCACCCTTAATGATACAGTTCAAATGGAATGTCTGCCCATTTCATTCCCTTTTGGTGTCCCTAAAATAGGTTTGAATGCAGTGATTTTAGGGAGTTGGAAAATGAATGGCCAGGAGGGCAAAACAACTTTCAAGGGATAGTAACATCATGATGCACCAACTGTGAAAACCCATATTCACAGTTTCATTGCCAAAACTGTGCAGGGTCATTATACCTAAAACTAAAGTAGCGAACTTTCCCAAATGCCTCATAGATCATCATAGTTCTAATAAGAGCATTAAAAAAGATGAAATAATAGCTGTAAATGTAAAGGTGTATCACAACATAAAGAGCAAAGTTTGGTATAAGATTCATGCCATCTAGTTTCTACTCAAATTTCAAGGACTACAACATGACAAGAAAACATAATGGTCTAGATATTAGATCAAATCCAAAAGTCAGATACCAAACTTCCTTAAATTAGTGCATCTAGAGAAAACAAAATGGTCTAGATACTAACACCAAACCCAATAGTCAGATGCCAATCTTCCTTTCATTAATACATCTCATTGGAGGGTAACTTAATTTATTTTTAATTTTTTTGGGTGTAGTTTTTTCATTTTTCATTTTTTGATTCAAACACATTTGTTATTCAAGTTTCATGGAGAGCATGAATGTTTTTCAAGATAGTCCAAGATGAACTGACAATATATATCTTGAAGAGGGTCGTGGGAATCAATATTCAAATATTAGAAACCTCAGCCTTTAATAAAAGGGCCTTGATTAAGCCAGAAAATCAAGAAATGAACGACCGAACTGCCCAACATAACGAAGAGGATCAAATAAATTACATTGTAAACATATGTGATAGCGGAACTCCAAAAAACAGAACTATAGGTATTTCGAATACCTTGCGATCTACGAACTTGAGGACTTCAGACGGAACATATTGAATCTTCTCGTAAACGGGACCTACGACGGTCTTAACAGTACCCTCCACAGTCTGAACGCCAGGCTTGAGAGGGCCCAAATTCTCCTTAGCGTAACTGTAGAGCTTCGCAGCGCATAAGACGGCGTGGAGCGCCGCGACTTGCACAAACTCCAAATACTTCAACCTCTGCTCCTCGATCTGAATTTCAACCTAGGATTAACCAAACATTCAAAAACCCCAGATTCAGCAAAATCAGTTGCAAATCAATGAAAACGCACATATATCTATCATAAAAGAAAGTGAAAACAAGTCGAGAAGTAGAAATTCCGGAATCTGAAATGAATTTACCTCCTCCGGCTGCTGTTGATTGTTAGGGCTCGTTTCATCGGCCATGATCGCAGAAGGATTTCGAAATGTAACGGTGATAATAAAAATCCTGTTGCCTGGCCGGGGATTTATAGGGAGAGAAATGAATTGACGGCAGTGTGGACGGTCAATTTTTCCTTTTTAATACATAAATAAACGCGCAATGGGTATGGAAGAACAAAATTGCGCTATGCAGATATTGGAATTCGATTTGACTATTCCTTATTTCCTTACCCGCTAAGCTATTGTTGTTGAGGTGGACAAGAAACTCTTTGGTTGGGTTCTTTTTGGAAGTGAGATTTAGGGAGTGTTTGCAACTGCTTCTGCTTAAAAAAAAGCACTTTTGGAGATATAATGAAAAAGTGATTAGTAGTAAAAGTTGATAGTGTTTGAGAAAAAAGTGATTTTGAAAAGTAAAAGTTGGTAGTGTTTGGTAAAATAAGTGCTTTTTGTGTAATAGAAAAGGGAAAAGCACTTTTCACACGCAAGCCGAGAAAAAGTAAAAATTGGAAGTGTTTGGTAAATAAGTGCTTTTTAAAGCCAAAAGCTGAGAAGTGCTTTTTTTTAAGCTATTGCAAACACTCTTTTAAGAAGGGTTGACAAAAACCTTTCAATTATTTAAGTCATTTTACATGCCGATCGAATTATTTACGCACAGATAATTTAGTTAGAATGTAAAATTGTATGTACAAACAACATTTTTGAAAACTTTTATTATGTATTAAATGTTTTTCTGCTTTTTAAACAGATTCCTTTTAGACATTATATTTTTCGTTATGTTTTTATCATTTCTCTGATTTTTAAGCCTAAAGTTTAAACGAAGCGTATTAATTAATGTTATGTTTAGAAACCCTAGTCGCCCATTTTTAAGCCTAAAGTCTAAACGACGCGTATTGTTATCATGATGAATCAATCGTAGCATAGCCTCGTCGGAGATCTTTGGGGCGAACTTTTCTGATTTCTTGGTATGGATAAGATCCAATTTGATTGTTCTTTTGGTATTGTTATGTTTGTATTGTCCTATTGCGACTCTTTCCTGGGAAAATTAGTGCTTCGGTGTGGTTTGTCTCCCTCGATGTGGGGAGGAGTTTTGTTGTTCCCATCAGTTTCGATTAGGGGTGTAAACGAGCCGAGCCGAGCCCGAACTCACATATGCTCGAACTCGAGCTCGAAAATATTTTATATGCTCGAGTTCGGCTCGAGCTCGATCGAGCATAAATATTGAAACTCGAGCTCGACTCGAAAGCTTTGCTTAAAGCTCGCGAGCCGCTCGAGATCAACTCGTAAGCTTAGGCATTTGTTGCAACCTTCGAGAGTGTGCCGGTGTGAAGCTCGCTTGGTGCTGCATAAATCCTATGGAGATGAGGTGATTTATAGAAGGATGTGAGAGCAAACAACTCCTCACTTTCCGGTGTGGGAAGTATAAGAGCTATAAATGAAAAACAAATGGAGGAATCAGATCTAAGGAGTACAAAATCCTACCACCAAAGGGATTCGAACCGAGGTTGGTAGGGATAACCTAGCATTTAAACTCCACCTCATCTACTTGCCCGTTTGTGACAACATTGATGACAAACTATACTTAACCTCATTCCCAGTGAGCAAATGAAAAAACTAATACCCATTTATAGAATATTACGATTATCACATAGGTAATAGTTATAATAATAAATAATGTTATATTTAATTATTTATATTATACTATAATAATTATAAAAATTCAGTAACCCTAAATTAGAATAACTATTCCAAAAATATTATATACGTGGTATATAACTATTATACATTATACATAATATATCTATATATTATACACATACATCAAAGCTCGCGAACCGGCTCGCGAGCCACGAGCCTAAAATAAAGAGGCTTGACTCGAGCTTGTTTAATAAACGAGCCGAGCCGAACTCGAGCCGAACATGGATATGACCGAACTCGAGTCGAGCTTTTCTCGAGCGATCCACGAGCGGCTCACGAACGGCTTGGCTCGTTTGCACCCCTAGTTTCGATTGGTCGAGAGTTCTGTCTCTCTGCTTACGAACTGTGTAAAATATGGCAGGTGCATCAAGATTGTTTTTTACTTACATATCTCTACGATTATTTAGAAGAAAGCGGGAAGATAAGATTATTGCTCATCCATATTGTTGCATCTCGCCTTCACCTGAATCACCTCTGTGCCATAAAGAGATTTATAGAAAGACATTATTTCAGTATTATTTTTGCTTTAGTAGTACTTGTTTTTTATTTTAGCTCGAGTAGGTATAGTTGGAATATTTGGATATTTGGTCATTTTTTGTTAGACAATGCTTCGTTTCCGGTCAATTTAGTCTTAAAATTGCATGTTGTATGTCTAACAAGTCAAATTACTTTGTATGAGGTGATTGACCCTATGTCTATTTCTTAAGGCTTACGAATTACGATCACATCCGTAAGAGCTATCTGGAGGTTGTCTTGCATGATTTCTTTATATCAATATAAGTCGCTTTTATCATAAAAATAGATTACTTTTACAATATCACTTTTCAAAAACATTAACTTGTAAGGTAAAACATTTTTATATAATCTCTAAAATAAAGAGAAAAATTATGAAATTAGAATAAAAGAGTTTTGAAATTTTAAAACAAGAGTATTTTTTTCAACTAGAAGTAATTATTGTCAAGTTTGGAAAAAACCATAATATTTAAAGTCTGATAATGTCAAAATATGACATTAATAACTCATATTTAGAGAATAAAAATAAATTAGTTCTATTTTGGAGTTTATAAACATTGTTACTATTTTTGTATATCCTTCTAAACCTATTATAGTATAGTATTTGCTCTAATTAATGACAACATCCTTGATTGGGATATGACTCGAACCCGTGACCTCCTCTTTGGGAGATCAACGGTGATTAGTCATGGACCCGGGCTGGGCCGGTTTCGGGCCGGGCCCGGCCGGGCTTTTTTTTGGGGAAGGAAGGCCCGGGTAGCCACCGGGTCCGGGTCCGGGCCGGGCCGGGCCTCCGGTTTGGTCATAATTTTTTTTTTTTGCTTTCCTAACCCCCCCACTCACCCCCCACCCCCCCAAACCCCCAAACCCCTCCTAACCATCAAGCCCAACCCAGCTAACCTCAAAAAATGAAAAAAATAATAATAAAAAAAAAAAATCAATTCGGCCCGGGCCCGGGCCCGACCCGGCCGGGCCGGTTCGCCAAATACAAGGCCCGAGCCCGGACCCGCCCCCCCACCGGGCCTAGGCCCGACCCGGACCCGAGAACCGGGCCGGTTCCGGGCCCGCACAGTGGCAGGCCGGGCCAGTCCCGGGCCGGGCGGCCCGAACTGGGTCCATGCCTAACGGTGATGTCATCAGACCACAAGGTATTCCCGTATTTGGCTTGTTACTCTTATTTAGGGCAAATTCTTTAAAATAAATCACTTTGTAAAAGTATAAATAAATGCAACCACTGCCTTATTTTGAATATTTTGTAACAGACTTTTTTACTTAGCCCGAAATGCCAAATTATTTGGTAGCCCGGTGGCTATAAGGGCGGGCTTCGAGCTCGTTGTTTTGGGTCTGACCTGGCCGGTCCCGAGCCCGGTTGCACTATTTTTTTAATTTATTGCTCAGTCCTGGCCTGGCCCGGTCCCGACCCGGTACTGTTTAGGCCTGACCCGGTCCCCGTACATACCCGGCCTGATATTTTGACAGTTGTGAGATACACATCTACCAGACCAATTTTAATTTAGACCAGACCAAATAATTTTGGTTCAATAAAAAACATCCTTAGTTACTTTTTAGAATATCCAAATCTAGCCCTTCTTATCTTTTTGTTTTCATTTTGTGATTTCCAAGTCAAACCCATTTTTTGTAAGGTTTCCAACTTGACTTTAAATACGAAGTATTAACTAAGCATTTTCTAGATATTGTACGGTTGTACCATTACAGAATTCGTAAAGTGAAGCTGATTCTAGAATCTAGATGTCAAGACAGATCAAACAACCAACTTTGTCTATCATTTACTAGTTAGTTGTTTAAATATTAAATTCATAACCACCCAAGCCTTAAGCATGTACATACAAATAACACAAACACCCAACCCGAGTTATCGTCATCAACTGAACAAAGGCCTATATAATCAAAATCTGGAGACCTGCACTCTCTGGAGTCTGGAGTCTTGGTTCATCTGACAGAAATGAAGATTGGACAAAAGAGGGGTATATAATGTGTGCAAAATCACCGATAAGTCAAAATGTCAAATACTTTTTACGGCGAGGCACAGCCTCTTCTTTAGAACTCTCCTACTTTATCTATGGCAGTATGGCACTAGGGCTAAAACGCAAATAACAGGCAAACAAACTTACATATAGATTAAAAAGAATGCTTGCAAAGACAGTTCTTAATGATGGGGTGGTGTTGCCTCTACAACAAACTCTGGATCCTCATCATCTTCATCATCATCTTCTTCACCCGCATCTATCCAGTTGTTTGGATGGTATTGAGAAGCATGACGCGTACTTTCTCTCCTGCCTGCAAATAAAACAAAAGAGAATCGCTGGCTCTAATAGTTATTCTGACAAGGATTTAGATGAATGATTCACAATTGAAGTATGAACAAACCTTGTGTCTCATTTGTGTGATCTGTTTCCTCATTACGGAAGCTGAGGTATTTAGTTAAGAAAATGTTTCTTGAAACTTGGTGATTTAAACTATATATATACATAAATACATAATGCTTAGAGGATATCATTTTAACTAGAGAACTTGCATGGTAATTGCGGAACCCAGTCATGCATAAGCTCTTAAAACCCAGTCATATATTATATGCTTTTTGTAAATGTCTATGGTAGTTATTTGAAATTTAGAATGAAAACTATACTCCCCCTTAAAATTAGAATTATATCCCATTCACATTCCACATTTGTGAGAAATGACACAACAGCTTTTTAGATCTAAAAACTCGTTGCCACTACCTCACTTGATCATATACCTTGATTGAAAAGGCTATCTTATGGGGTTTGTTACAGAATCACCTAGATTTAACAGATCCGGAGCAAGAAACAGTGTTTTAACATTCAAAAGATCTAACATGTAAGATCAGCTTATATGTGCCACCCCATTAAGGAAATTGCAGGTTATAAGTAAATAGTCGAAGTTTAAGAATAAGCAAAAAAAAATCCAGGATACTTGTTAGCACCAGAAAGCACATTTCCTGCTGCAGCTCCAACTCCAGAAATGTTGCAACCAACTCCTCTCTGAATCTCTTGCTGCTCATTGATAATCTGGTTTCTACCACTTCCTGGTAAAATTTGGTATGAAAAAAACATTAAAAAAATGTAAACTGGTTGACATGTGACAAAAAGGCATACAATTAATTACCTGAAAGGTCAGACCAAATTCTGGTATGATCAGATGGGGGCTCAGAATTATCCCCTCTTGACCCATCATGTGTTTCGGCCCCTTTTGACTGATCAGCAGCCTGACCGTTTGAATTCACTGCTTGGGGACCGCCTGTGGAGTTCACATTATTGATTTGAGATGTGAGCATGGTCGCAAGCACCAAAGCTGCATCAATGTTTGAACCAGAACCATCGTCTAAACCAAACTTCGGTTCTATCAGAACTGGCCTATATGACAAAATTCAGATTAAGACTGATAAAACATGTACATTTTAAAGGTGCTTGAAAAGTAGCAGAATAACAAATTATGGAATTATTTTAAGATGAATAGCATTATGGATAGGCAGTGATGTATATATATTTATACAACATATTATATACTTGTGTGTATATAGATATTGGATCAACAATCCGTTGTCGTCCAGCGGTTAGGATATCTGGCTTTCACCCAGGAGACCCGGGTTCGATTCCCGGCAACGGAATTTTTTGTATTTGAGCATTGGCTGATGGTTTACCTACCGGGACCAAAAAAAAAATAGATATTGGATCAAATGAGAAGAAGTCTTGATGTAGCAATGAGAAAGAATACGGTGCACTGGGTTTGATATCTAGTGGTTCTAAAAGTGCCAAAGGCAAAAATGCAAAAAAGTTGATGGAAAATGTAAAAAGTTGGTAAGAAAATGAAACTTTGTGCGTGTAGTATGTAAAATAAAGGAATTTTGTAATTAGAAGGTTCATTTTCATTTTAGGTAGTTTGAATAATTTGGAAATCATAAGACTTCCATAACTAATGAGAGAAAGATACCATTCAGAATGGGCATAAATACCTAGTATTTCAAATATCTGTAGTATATCCCAAGAATTGCACAATTACTATGTTCCTCCTTTTGCTATAACCTAGGAAGCACGCAAACGTCAATTTGGGGGCAGTTTCTGTCCCGGAAATTTTTCAGAACCGCGAAATGTGGGGAAACAGACGGGAAACGCCCAGAAACGTTTCTGGGCTGTTGGGCTTTTAGGCCGGGTTGGGGACACGTTTTGGAAACGGGTTCTGAGGTGGGCCAACGTGTTTCTCGTATATTAAAAAAAACAGGGTTGGGCAATCAGTTGCGCTTCTTGATTTTTAAGAAATACATGTGACGCAAAGAGTTGTGTATCCTATCTCAGCAACACCTCAAAAGTGCACCAAACGACAAGAAGAACAAAGGGAGATTCAGGTTTCGGACTTCATGATTAAACAAAGGGTGACGACACGCTCGGTGATAAAGGGAGATGCAGAGACTATCGGCATCGCCTACAGTGCTGGCCGAGTGGACGGCTGAAGTTGGTGACGAGAGGCTTCATATTGAAATGTTTCCAGTAAGTGCTTCTTACATTTATTCTTGAACTATGGAACATATTGAAGTGAGTGATGGTGCGAGAGGGTCAGGGAGTTCTTCAGTAGGTGTTGATAATACACATTTGTGGAAATATGTTACCAAATTAGGTGAAAGTGCTGATAGAGGAGGTACATGCAGATTTCAATGTATGTCTAAGTAGAACCGGGACGGAAACAGGGAAACTCTAAATATCAAATAGGTAATGTTTACTAATATAGGTAATGTTTACGTCCAACAAATACGAAATATGTAAACAAAACATATGTCTCGTTATAATCCATTGTAAAACACACTCCAATTCCGCCACATTTAAGGATAAATTAGCAAACGCCAAATAGCTTATTTCGTCCAAATTTCCGAACTCGTCTCCTCCAACATCTCACATTTTAGTCGTTTGATCCGCGTATTGATGAGAACTTTTTGATAAGAGGTGAAGCTTGTTTTGCACAAACACCAAATCTTCTTCACGCTTAGGAGTTAACTTGTTCCCCCTAAGTGAATGGATAAAAGAGTAAGTACTCTAATTACGTTTACAAGAAGATGAAGGCGTGGGGTGGCCAAGAATTATAAAAGCAAGTGATTGAAGGATTGATGTTGAGCACCAAAGTTAACCCAAAAACTTTTAGGATATTTTCCCTCTTTGAAAGATGTAATCTTATCAAAAGGACCCGTCTCAAGTGAAAATGAAGCAAACTCATCCAAAACCTTATCATAATCAACACCACTTGGAAAGAGCCTTCGTAAGCATTTCATCCTCTCATGGGAGATCTCACCAATCTATATGAAGAGTGACCCTAGCGGGATCAACATCAAGCCAAACTTCATTGTAAACCCTATTACAAAAATAATACGATCCAAACTTTAATAATTAAATTAAATAAATATGATGAACAATTAATAATGATCTCAAGGTATGATCGGATGACATACCTTGGGTTCAATGAATGTGCTAGATAGTGAAGCGGCGTAGAACTGTTCCTCCAACGTGTCACAAGAATATAATGTACAACTTTGAAGAAAGCACTATATTCATTGACAGATTTCTTCATGCTCATAGATTTCGACTTTGACTTTTCCAATCAAGGAATCTCACATCTCATACACCGAATAAAGACATGCCCTATCCGTATCACATGCTTGAATCATACTATAGATAGGATCCGAGAAAGCAAGAATGTAATCAATTTGATCGCACCAATACTCACTTAAAATCTTTTCCCTCACAAACATTGTTTTGCCTTGGTCATCCTTACGGTATGCTGGTCATTCATCACTCAACATCATTGCCTCAAGACAACGTCTAATAAACCTCTTAAACATCACAATTAAAGAAGCAAAATGAGTGTCAGTGATCCAATGACGTTCATCATAAACTTATGTGTTGCTCTCTACATTCTTTGCGGCACAAATGTTCTTTAAGGCAAAATTTAAAGTATGCAGTACACAAGGTGCTCAATAGATGTGGAGTTACATATCTTCAATTATTTCTCCCTCACCCTTGCAATTTGAAGCATTATCAGTATTCACCTCCACCACATTTTGACGACTTATCTCATCAATTACTTGTTTCATCAAGTTAAAAATGAATTCTTTTGATTTAAATTCACGCATACAATTCACTGCTTTAAAAAACATGGGACCACTTCCACAAGTTACCATAAAATTAATTATAGGTCATCTTTGAATATCACTTTGACCATCAGTTGCAATTGCCACTCCTCTTTCAGGCCAAGTAACTTTGAGTGGTTGTAATAACCTCTCAACATTTCTGTTCTCTTGTTGAAGTAAAGTGGTCCACTAGTCCTCAATTTATTGTAGCCCAAGGGGCATAACCTCCTAATTTGTGATAGATAAACAAAAGAAAAGGCTCTCACATAATATGGATTCCTAACAAGATGAAGGATGCTTTTACTTGGACTGTAATTTGTTGGTCTGGTCTGATTTCTTTGTATTTTTATAACTACCCAAGTCTGGTCTGGTCTATTCTGGTCTGGGATAGATTACAATCCAAGTAAAAACATCCTAAATTGCAACCCTTCTGTAAAAATACATCCTTCCAATTTCTTCATCTAATTTTGTTCTAGCATCCATGACAATAGCTTTTTCCAAAAGACCAATGTTAGCTTTTCTTTTATTAGGTAAACTACTGTGACCTATCTAATCCATTTGTGACCTCGGTGAAGGTAAAGGAATATCTTTAGGTGCAACGCTTTTTTTAATTTTCTCAAGTTCTTCTTCTAACTTTTTCATCTCACGCAAATCATTAGGTTGGACCTTTTTACATATAGCAACTCCTTGTTTTAAAATTTGAAGCAAGTGAGCTCTTACTCTACAATAAGATCTTTGTTTTTGCTATTGCAAAAATTACATTGAAATCTCCATGTCCCTCCTGTATAAGCACTTTCACCTCATTTGGTAACATATTTCCACAAATGTGTATTATCAACACCTACCGAAGAACTCCTTGACCCACTCCCAGTCTCCCATTATCACCAACTCCTATACATTTTGTAGTTCAAGAATAAATATAGGAAGCACTTACTGGAAACAATTCAATCTAAAGCCTCTCACCCATCACCAACTTCAGCCATCCACTCATCCAAGAGAATAGCACTACAAACAATGCCAATAGTCTTTGCATCTCCCTTTGTCACCCAGCGTCTCCCTTTGTTCAACCATGAAGTCCATCCGAATTTCCCTTTGTTCTTCTCGTCGAGTGGTGCACTATTGAGGTGTTGTCGAGATAGGATACACAACTCTTAATGTCACACGTATTTTTTAAAAAGCAAAAAGCGCAACTGATTGCATGACCCTGCTTTTTTAAAAATGAGAGAAACGCGTTGGCCCACCTCAAGTCCCGTTTCCGTAAAGAACGTTTATGGAAGAGTTAGAAACATTTCACAGCGTTTCCTGGCGTTTCATGATTCTGAAACGTTTATGTGACGGAAACTGCCCCCAGATTAATGTTTCCGTGCTTCCTAGATTTATACAATAGCATAAAACAAGGATCTTATTCTAGAGTAAGGGCTCACTTGTTTCCAATTTCAAAACAATGAATTCCTATATGTAAAAAGGCCCAACCTAACGATTTGGGTGATATTAAAAAGTTAGAAGAACTTGAGAAAATTAAAAACAAATATTGCACCTAAAGATTTTCCTTTACCTTCAGCGGGGTCACAAATGGATTGGGTAGGTAACACTAGTTTCCCTAATAAAAGAAAAACTAGCATTGGTCATTTAGACAAAGCTTTTAATATGGATGTTAGAGCGGAATTAGATAAAAAAAAATTGGCAGGATGTTTTTTATAGGAGAATTGCCATTTAATCTTGCTATGAATTCATACTATGTAAGAGCTTTTCCTTTTGCTGCCAATCACAATTGAGGAGATAATGTCCCCCTGGACTACAATAGTTGAGGACCATTTTACTTCAACAAGAAAAGGAAGATGTTGAAAGGTTATTATAGCCACTCAAAACTATTTGGCCGAAAAGAGGAGTTACAATTGCGACCGATGGTTGCAGTGATCCTAAAAGAAGACCTATAATTAATTTTATGGCAACTTCTGGAAATGGTCTCATGTTTCTTAAAGCGGTGAATTGTATGGGTGAATTTAAATCAAAAGAAATCCATTGCTAACTTGATGAAACAAGTAATTGATGAGATAGGTCATCAAAATGTGGTGCTGGTGATCAATGATAATGCTTCAAATTGCACAGTGTGGGAGAAATAATTGAAGGTATGTATCCCCACATCTATTGGACACCTTGTGTACTGCATAATTTAAATCTTGCATTAAAGAGCATATTTGCCGCAAAGAATGTGGAGAGCAACACAAATGTTCATGATAAACGCCATTGGATCACTGAAATCCATGGTGATATTATTCACATAAAAAAATCATCATGAATCATTTTGTGTTGTTATCCATGTTCAACAAATTCATGTCCCTTAAATTACTTTATATGGCTGACACCTGTTTTGCTTCTATAATTGTGATGCTTAAGAGGTTTAAGCTTATTAGACGTGATTTTGAGGCTATGGTGTTGACTGATGAATGGACAACATACCGTGAGGATGACCAAGGCAAAACAAGGTTCGTGGGTGAGAAGATTTTAAGTTAGTATTGGTGGGATATTGATTACATTCTTGCTTTCTGGGATCCTATCTATGGTACGATTCTAGCGTGTGATACAGATAGGGCATGTCTTTATTCGGTGTATGAGAGGTGGGATTCTATAATTGAAAAAGTTAAAGTTGAAATCTATAAGTATGAAGAAAAATCACTCGATGAATATAATGCTTTCTTCAAGGTACTATATGATATTCTTGTAGCACGGAGTGGGGAAGAGTTCTACGCCGCTGCACTATCTAACGCATTCATTGAACCCAAGATATGTCATACGGTCATAGCTTAAGATCATTATTAGTTACTCATTATATAATATTTTATTTAACTATTAAAGTTAAGGTTGAATTATTTTTATAATAGGTTTTACTGTGAAGTTTGGTTTGATGTTATTCCTCCTACGGTCCATCCTCATAGAGATGGTGAGGTCTTCATGAAATGCTTTTGAATGCTCTTTCCAAGTGGTGATGATTATGATAAGGTTTTGGATGAGTTTACTTCATTTTCACTTAAGACGGGGCCTTTTGCAGATATTACATCTCTTATAATGAGGGGAAACACGGATCCTAAAAGTTGGTGGGCTAACTTTGATTCTCAAATACCAATCCTTCAATCGTTTTGCCTTTAGCGTTCTTGGTCAACCCGCGTCTTCATCTTCTTGTGAACGTAATTGGAGTACTTACTCTTTTATCCATTCACTTAGGGGGAACAAGTTAACTCCTAAGCGTGCAAAGGATTTGGTGTTTGTGCACAACTATCACCTCTTGTCAAGGAGTTCTGAGCAATATACATATGAGACGAGTAAAATGTGGGATGTTGGAGGAGATGAGTTCGGAAATTTAGAAGAAATGCGATATTTGGTGTTTGTTGATTTATCCTTAAATGAGCCGGAATTGGAGAGCGTGTTTATCACTCAATGAAACATCGACCGGGCCGGGACCGCCAGGTCATTGACCGGACAGGGAACGCCGGGTCGTGGACCGGACCAGATAGGGGCTGCCGGATAAAGGACCAGAACAGACAGGGACCGCCGAGTCATCGACCAGACCAGGACTGGACCAAAATTGCTCGGCCGTCGATCGGACTGAACATGGACTATCCGGTCAATGACCGGATCGGACCGCCGGGTCAATGACTGGACAAGATAGGGACCGTCGAGTCATTGACCGGACCGGACTAGAATTGATACCACAGCGGGACCGAATCCAACCCTAGGCGTAAGTATGCAAATTCATTGCAGCGCCACTGTAGCATCCGCGTTTTCCAAATTTGGAAAACTAGTTAAAGACACTTCTCCAATATATTAAAGAAAACAGAGACATATCTCATTTTTTTTTTGTTTTGGAAAACGCAATTTTCTGTCTTCCTTTCTCCGATTTTCCAGCAATTTTTTTGGTAAACACGTTTTTTGTTTTCCATTTCCAGTTTTTAGTTAGTAAACAGGCCCTTACTTTTTTTATTTTATTTATTATACATGTACAATGGATTATAACAAAGGCATATGTTTTGTTTAATTATTTCGTATTTGTTGGATGTAAACATTACCTATATTAGTAAAATTTTAATTTTTTGTTTGGTGTTTCCTTGTCGTACCCGTATCATGATATTTTTAGTTTTCACATGAAAAGAGAAACTCCTTATTGAAAAAAATTCTAATATAAATATAACTGAACACATCTTGAAGCAGATAGTTTAGGAATCAGAAGGTCATAATCTTACTCTCTAGCTTATCATGCGTGAATGTAATTTATCATTTATCTTTAATAAAATACTACCTCCGTCCCACTAAGATTGGGACGGAAGAAGGTGGCACAATTATTAAGAAAAATGTGTTTGCGTGGTTGATATTAAATTGATAAAGTAAGAATAAAGTAAGAATGATTTAGAGCCACACAATCTTTACCAAATTTGGTATGAGACAATCTTAGTGGGACTTCCCAAAAAGGTAAAATGGGGCAATCTTAGCGGGACGGAGGGAGTATTTGTTTTTTTTGTTTTAAAAAAAATCTTACTCTCCAGCCACACTGAAATGGAAGCGTACATCAACTTCACATCCCTCACAGAACGAAACAAACGCCTGCAACAGGAATTCATAGATAAAACCAGTAGCAGGTTATATTCAGTGGAAATTAAAGAGAACTCTGTAAAACAGAACTGATGGCGCAATCTGAATATTTTTCATTCTTTTTGCAGCAATATGATGATTCGATGAATTTTTTAAGAAGCAAAGCACTACACTTAAAAAAATGTTCAGTTTGCATACCTTAAAATCTTTCACTCCAAATGTCACATCTACTGGATTTCCGGTGTGTGTGTACTGCAAAAACTCTTCTGTGGGGTCTATCCATAACTGTGTGTGCAGTGATGAATCATTTTCTGAAGATGAAAGTCTATCACTTCAATGCACCCATGAGTTAAGGATATTAGAGGAAAAAAGAAATAGTTAATTGGCCTTAATTTACCTTTTGTTGGATCTATATAGCTTCTAAGCTCAACACACTTTCCTCCGATTTCATTTTCAGCATCAGAAGAAGGTAAGGAGGAAGGTTCGGTTGCTATTACTGTGATCTCCTGAAGGTATGCCTGAAAATTAGATAATAACCTATTGAGATCACGCGGTCTCACCACAAAGTTGCTAGGAAGCTTGCTCCTATCTAGGGATAGCTGTTGTATCTCAGGTCTAACATTGCAATTTGTCCAATAGGCTTTCCTGATCCCTGGAAATTAGCATATCATTTCAAAGTTTACAAGTTCAAGACAGTAGGAATAGTTAAAGAGGAATGATGCTAAAAACGCAATGTCAAATGTGTACAGTAAACACAAAATGTTCCCTACCAAAAAGCCCAAAAAATAATTTATAGTGGTAATGCGACTGTACGGTTTGAATTTCAATTTTCTGAGTTACATCGTACAGGAAATCAGCAAATAAATGATACAAAACATAACAATTCACATAGAGGAACTAGAATCTAACATACAAATAAACTCACAGCCAAATGTCTGTCATGCCACATCCACATTTATTCAACTAAATGACCAACGCTATTCCTTTCTTCGCTATAGTTTTTCACTAGAATTACAGTTATCTTTTAAGCATAAGAAAAGCTCTTCAGAAATGCAGGAAATAATATATGCAAAAGCCTTCAAGTAAAGAAAAAAACTGCTACCATTGTAACATTCCAATGTCCACAGCAACTTAGATGCATCAGGATCAGGTAACGACACAGTCAAATGGTCAATACTAGCAAAGGGTGTTCTTAATACGGAACAAACAGCCTGCACGCACCATTTAATTCAATCTTATTACAACAATCTAGTTTTGTATAGACCGGAAAAAACAAAACAGATCCTTAAGAAGTAATACCTTTAAGAGAACACTACATTTCACCTGGTCAGCTGACACTGTGTAGACATTAAAAAATTCAGGTTTAAATGTGATGGACAGATGAGCTGTCCTAGATGAATTTAGTGTGACAAGAGTCAGCTGCAAAATAGAATATAATAAATGAATAAATAAATAAATTTCATATCCAACATAGTAGAATCACTGTTTGACATGGTAATTCCCTATTTCCAGTTCGCACATTCCTTCAGATAAGTAATCTGGAGATGACAAAATGTTTGAATATAAAATGTAATAGATCACTGCTGATGAACTCATGAACTCCTTTCTCATACTTTCTGACTCGTGCGGAGAGCCGGAGAATGAACATGGTGTACCACATATACTAAACAGTTCCTAAAAACACATTTTAATTTTGTGGCAGCAAAAATTATATTTCGTATTGATATCCATTTGAGAAGTTAAGGACTTAAATTTGACCTCAGCAATTTACTTTGTCCCTTTTATCATCATTCTTTCAGTTTTCGTCTTCTCCTAAAATATCTGTTCTTTCTTTAAGAAACTAATTATGTGATTGATATTGTTCCCCTCCCTTCCAAGAAAAATTCAACCACGTCATTTTCGCTCTATTAAAAATCAGACTTTTTGACAATTTTAATGCTCCAACTATTGTATCAATGACACTTTTACTACTCAACTTTCAGTTCTTTTATTTTTAATCCACTGACTATTGTTACAGATGCTTTTTGTACTTACTTTTTAACACCTTACACTTTTAGTCCTACTTTGAAGTCAACTTTGTTCTTCACATATGATGTTTGCAAAATAAGTGGAGGCCGAAAAGTGTAACGATACCACTCTCACAATAGTTGGAGGACTAAAAATGGAAAAAATAAGTCCCAATATTGCCTCCATTTCAAAATAGTGGAACGACTAAAAATGAAAAAACTCAAGACTAGTAATAAAGTGTTAATCACATAATAGTATGAGGATTACAAGTGTCTAAAGCACTTAAGATAGTGAAAAAACAAGCAAGTAGATAAATTAGGGACAAGGTACTACTTACCTAGGAGTATGTAGTTACTGAATTGCTCTAAACCCTAAAAAGCAAAAATGAACAAAAGCTTTCCTCCTTCACATAGTGCCCCTGTATGTATGTGTGTATGAGTGTATGTATTTGTATTCATTGTCTACTTTGATGTGTGGAAGAGAGAAAAAAGTGCAAAAATTTTGGGACGAATAGAAAATGAAATACCGATGCTAGTTGTTCAATTATACTTGCACGTAATAGTTGAAAAGTACAAACAATTTTTATTAAAAGTAAATTAATCAACAAAAAGGGAAGAGAATCAAGATATGGAGAAAAACCAGTGAATTGGATGCTTGAATAACGAGCTCGTTGCCAATGCGAGCCAAGCATGTCATGGACCGAGAGAAGGTCTTGAGTTCATTTCCACTAAGCTTAAATTCCATTTGCAGGGACAGAGCAGGCTTGCAGCTGAAGGAATTAGTCTAGGCGCATGGGAAACACGTTAGACTATAAGGTGTCTGCCGTTTGGTTGGAAGATTTCCAGAGGGAGATGAGAGCTGAGGGAGTGAGGGGTCGTATTTCAATGCGTATACGGCTGGATCAATCAAGGATTAGCATCATGCTCCAGGCCCAACAATATAGTTTTAATCAATTGTGACCGATCTGACGGATACCCGTACCGAACCACCCCGGTCAAAATGGGAAAAACTGCATTGACCGGGTAATGGGTACGGGCCGGAGAATAACCATTTTGCTTTTACGGGTAACGGGGCAGTTACGGTTTTATGCATGCTCGCCCCATTACCCGCCCCGTTTATTTTTAGTTATATTTTTATTACTTTTTTATCTATTATTTGTCCCACAACTAATAAAAGATGAAATTTTTAATGTTCATTGTGTATATATGGATAATAGATGTACTAACTATAGTGTAAACATGAAAGTTCTCAATAGAACTTAATAGCCTTGTTTGATTATTCTATGATTTTTCGTGATTAATTATTTTTCAGATTAAGTATTTTTAGCTTCAAATTAATTTTAGGTTGTCTTCTTTCTCGTCGTATAGAAATATGAAGCTTTAAAGTGGCGTTTGAGTCTAGCGTCGTCTAGGTGGTGCCATTTTTCGCCTTTTAAAATATTATTTTTTTATTGAAATATCAATGACTCATTTAATAAAGTGATTACCCGCGGTTACCCGAGGTTATAACCCTTACTCGTTGGGGCGGTTATGGTTTGGGTAAAAATTACTCGTTGGGTAATGGGGCGGTTATGGGGCGGGGGAATTGCCACACGGGGCGGGTACAGTTATATGTAAAACCGTCCCCGATCCGCCTCGTTGTCATCCCTACAAGCGCGTGAATCGTACGCGCGTGTACGGTAGTGTTTTTTTTTCTTTGCACCCCAATAGCATGAATGATATAAGTTACGTGTAAAGAAATGTAACCCACGTTATTGATCAATGTAACTCAAGTCCAATTGAAATGTAAATTGTCAAATACGCAGTACATAGTATACGAAGTAAAACATTGATTTCAATGTATGGCTGGACTTGGGCCTGGGCCCGGTTCGGGCCTCGGGCCAGAAAACTGGGGCCCGAGCCCGAACCGCCGGTGGCCGGTTCCGGTTCCGGTTCCGGGCCAAACCGGGCCGGGCCGGGCCGGGCCAAACCGGTCCATTTTTTTTTTGGTTCTCCTATTTAACCCCCTACCCCTCCCCCTCAACCCCAAACCACCTCAAATGGCCCAAAATACCTAATCCAATCCAAAACTTAAAAAAATCTCAAAAAAAAAAAAAATTAAAATCCGGCCCGATACCTAAAGCAGGGCCCGAGCCCGGACCGCCCATCACCCGGGCCGGGCCAAACCGAACCGCTGGACCACCGGGCCCCCGGCCGGGCCGGGCCAAACAGTAACCGGGCCGGGCCGGGCCGCCCGGCTCGAGTCTACCCCTATTTCAATGTAAATAATGCAAAAAAAAATCTAGTTGTCTAAATATTTTACATAAATAGTGTATATGTTTTGTTTTTAATACCAGGGCTATAAAAATGATTTTTTATAAAAATAATTTTTCTTTGAATATCAAGAGCTTATTGTGTTGTGTAACTCGCATCATATTGCGGTGTAACTCGTCTTATATAAAATGTAAATCACGTGCAAGTATGATGTAACTTGTTGAGAAAAGTTGATATGTAATTTGCACTAATAGACATGTAACTTTAGGCAAATCCTGATGTAACTGCATGTATTTTCAAATGTAATTTGAGTCAAATCAAAATGTAACTGTGTGTGTATGAAGATTCCTAATCAACTCCAATGTTCTCATGCTTGGCTAGCAGAATTAAAGCACCCATGACTCATCACCGATATGCAATCTGAAGGAACGGAAGTGGAATTGTAATTGTGTTTGGCTGAGCCAGGTCGTATAAGCCAAAACCAAAGCATAATAGGATCGTTGCAATTAGCGAAAGCCAAAGCTGAATAGGATGTAACTTGCTTGGCCGGATTTTATTTGGTGCTCGCCGGGTGCGTGCAAAGCTCCGTCTTTGTAGGGAAACGCGGGCCTGTTCTTTTTTTTTAACAAAACGACACCGTTTATGGATCGACACACCATCCTCATGGTGAGCCGATCCCACGATATAAATTGCGGTTGTATTTAGCTTTAAAATTATTTTTACATTTAGAAAAGTTGAAATCGAGTTTTGAATAAAAAAAATATACGGAGTATCTACAAATAATCTATAAATAATACATTTCAAAAATACATTTATGAAAAGTTTTGAATAATACATTTGCTAATGTGACGCCAATAGTGCATGAAGTGGCAATAATGTGACATCAATACCTATATCTAGTAAAGTGTGCATCCAACTGGGTTTAATGCACCAAACCCCCCTGTGATTTGGAAATTCGGCGCATTAGCCCCCTGTGATTTAAAAAATGCGTCAAACCCCCCTGTGTTTTAATTAATCATGCGCCAAATCCCTTATGTGAACAAATTCAATTGTCAAATAAAAGAAAAATGATTAACATTTTTGTATGATTCAGAGATTTTGACATATTTATTTGCATATTCAATCAAAATATTAGGAAAAGTGATTTTCAAAGCGTTAAATTTATTCATAAAGGGGGTTCTGTGCATGATTAATTAAAACACAAGGGGGGTTTGACGCATTTTTTAAATCACAGAGGGCTAATGCGCCGAATTTTCAAATCACAGGGGGGTTTGGTGCATTAAACCCGCATCCAACTGGAGAAATACTACTCGGTACATTAAGAGACATGCAACAGAATCACTTAGTTAAACAAAAGATTGATAATCTAAGGGTCTAACAGCTTCTGCTTTTAAAAAAGTGTTTTTTTAATGAAATGGGGAGAAGTGATTAAATAAAAGTTGATAGTATTTGAGAAAAAAGTGATTTTTAAAAGTAAAAGTGAGTATTGTTTGGTAAAATAAGTGCTTTTTGTGTAATAGAAAAAGTAAAAGCACTTTTGACGCGGAAGTCGAGAAAAATAAAAGTTGTAGTGTTTGGGAAAACAAGTGCTTTTTTAAAGCCAAAAGCTGAGAAGTGCTTTTTTAGAAGTAGTTGCAAACCAACCCTAAGTATTGCGTATGTGAGAATTTTGAACCTGCTTTAAAAAAAAACAAATATTAAACCCCAAATCTGTAACTAATAAATGTTGGTTTTGTTTTTGAAATTTTGGCTTATGACTAAGTGTGTCTCGTTACAAGATGCTACAAAAATAAGTAAACATATAGGTGTTGTTCCAACACTTACTATAGAAAGAATACAGTCTAAATAGAATGGAAGAACTGAAACACAATGATTTCAAATATGAGTACTCTTCAACTATAGTAAGCAGTGCTTCTATAATTTTAAATTATATGTCTTTCCGTTAAAACCATGCAACCTTTTCTTACAATCATCTCATTCATCAGTTTGAAACACAAACTATTAAACTCCCACATGGATAATTCACAAACACCAAGTGCTCCAACCCAATTCACTAAGGGTTCCACATAACTAATTTTAAATGGACCAATTAGCATTAAAAGATGAAGCTGAAACTACAAATTGTCACTTCACCTTTTTTCACCAAACATTTGAGAACTCGTTACATTTCTTAGACAATCTATAGGAGGCATCGACCACGGTTGATAATCAAGCTTGATTAAATGCCAGGCAAAAAAATAAAACATATATTAGTAGTTCTATGTTAGGGACATTATGCATTAACTGCAGGTCTGCTCAGCCTTTTCCCCTCCATTTTCTTCTGTTAGTTCCCTAAGTTGATATGTACTATGTATAATAGTTTACCTATTTGCAGTTCAGGGAATTGAGGAGTCTTATAGAAAGTTTCTCTGGAAACCTTTTATAATATAATGCCTCACACCCAACCTCCCGAGCTCTCTACATTTATTCATACTGATAGCATAACACCTGTGATGGAGTATATGGCCCGGGAACCCCCGGCCCACAGACTCATGTTGCTCCAACACAGGCCCAACAGGCCCAAAGCACAGCGACCCAAGCTCAAAGGAGCCCACGGTACACCTTGGGTAGCCTTCGGCAATATGGCCGAAGGCTCCAAAACTCACAGGGCAGCCAGATTTGAGCATACGAAGCTACTGGGAGAAAATGAGAGAATTTGGGAGCCCTCGCCAGAACCATGCCCTTGGCAGAACCATGCCCTCGGCATAAAAGTAGCCTTCGGCTCCAGGGAGCCCCCGACTGCGGGGAGCCTCGGCTTACAGCTCAAACATCGAAGATTCCCTTTGGAGACAAGCAACCACCGCATTTAATGCGGCGTCACCGCATTTAATGCGGTGCACATGCATATGCCGGTGCCACCCCGATTGAGTTCATTAATATAATCGCCTCTCTCTCTCTCTTACTTGTTTGCTCTGACTTCTCTCTAGGTTATCCTCACAATAACCCCTCGGATATGCTACCCCCGGGTACACTATCCATCAACCTGCAAAAGGAGACCCATGAATCAAGGCCAATGAATCATATAATTGAAATAAAAGCATTAAATTAAATCAAATGAAAAGCCTTCGCTCTGTTTATCGAATGAGAAGAGCATATTCAAATAGTTAACGATTACAAGAATTGTGTGCAACTAATATGGAGTAGTGGACAGACAACGGAAGGTACGAAGAACGAAAGAATTGAAGACTTCTAACTATAATTAACATAGAAAGAAAGAAAGATATAAGGATAACAATCTAAAATTCAACTTGAACAACATAAAGTACAATTAGATATTGCTTGAAGGTTACACAACACATTTTACATTTCCAAATGGCCCTTACACTCATTCACACTTGTAAGTTCTTATTATTACAAGTGACATGCAAACTTATGATTGACTTGCAAATCTGAAATATGATCAATATAATAAGTTATGCACACACCTATTCACAAATGCTCTACACCACACAGTAAGTCGAGTTAAAGAAACATTATTAGTAAACAAAGATGTTAAGGGCTAAAAGCCTTACCCGTAGAACAACGCTAAGTAGTGGAATAGAGTACAAAGAACGGAAGAAATTGAAGACTTCTAACTATCATTAACTGAGAGAGAAAGATA